TTTGCTGTTGACACAAAAGTTAGGATAATCTGCTTTTTACCCTCTCACTCAGTCTTTATTTATATCAACGCTTTCTCTCCATAACCAGGGAGAAAAGATCGCTGGTCAGGGTGGGCTTCTGACACTGAAATCTGTCAAGCGCACTGATTCTGGGGAATACGAATGCACGGCCACAGACTTTGATAACCTTGATGCTGACCTGACAGGAACAATCACCCTCACTGTCAACTGTGAGTTAGTCAAACACACACACATGGACACATCCGCAGAATTTAATGAATATGTGTAACTTATCTCCTGTTTGTGCAGTCTTACCCTCACACTGAGCCTTTTTTTTTCATCCATAAATCTGAGAGTTTCGTTCGGAGGGAGATTTAATGGAATCTTTTCTGCCGAGAGATATCCACTTCAATTTCTCACAGTTCAGCTGTTACCTTACCGCTATCTGAGCCCTGAATTTGATCATATCACACAGTAAACTCTCATTGCCTTCGAAAAGATTTAACTTTAGCTTCAAAATGGGTTTAACTCCAGAGTAAATAGACAATTATAGAAACTAAACTGAAATATTCTACTTCAGCTTTGCCATTTTGAGAATGTGAGCTCTTTAAGTGACTGAGAGATTTTTATATTTCACTCCTCATCTACAGCATTATGTTTCCAAGTGTCTCCCATTTGCTCCATAAGCTGCTCTCTCTGTTTTCTATTGGTCAGACATTGACCCCATGGAAGTGACCCCAAAAAAGCCTCAAGTTGTCATGCTTGGAGAGAAGGTGGAATGGCAGTGCAGGACCAAGGCATCTGATTTGCATACAGTTCATTGGAAAAAGGTATGCTTCCTTAATTTATCAACCTTGATGCTCCTTTTTTTAAACTCAGACTATATGTTTCTTGTGGATCTGAAGAAACATCTTAGTCATTTGGTTAATAGATAAACTTGGTTCCTCACATAGGGAAATGTTATGAGAATGTGATTTTTCGGGACCCAAATTACTCTCAGCCATTATCAAAGTATGTTGTAACTTATACATCCACATCAGATTGATTTTTAAAAAAACTAAATGTTTCTTTTCTCTAATTTATTCATACAAAGTTTCAGTCAAAAGTAGGGATGGGATGTGTTTGGGGAAAAAAAATTGTGGTCTTTATTACATGCTATTTACAGAGAAGCTGCAAACTGTTATATTGTAAACCTGCATACCCTTGGTTATGTTTTATAGTCATCTGTGCTTCTCTACTTGTTATGTCAAAGTACTCCTGCAGCGTCAATACTGTTTTTTGTAGCCTGTGTATCTTTTGTTGTGTCTCCTGGGTGCGCTAGAAACCGGCTAGAGACTGTATTGTTCTTAAGAAGAGGGATTCCTGTGAGGAGAAATAGAGAAGTATTGCAAGAGACAGGTTTATCATTGAGGATGATCTGTTATCACTGTGCTGTCAAAGAGAGTGTGTGAAGATTCTTCCTCTGCTTTCCCAGTGCACCAGAGTACCTGAAGTCTTGCTATCCACTGTGCTGTTCCACTCTCGCTTTCATATAGACAGAGTAAAAAGAAAGTATAGAGCAACGATGATGTGCGTACAACAGGCTTAATTTCTGTTTGTCTGTGTTCTTCAAGGGCTCTGAGATACTCTCGCAAGACGGCACTCTGTCAATACAGGATGTTACCTACGACCAAGCGGGAGAGTACATGTGTGTTGGAGCTGTTCCATCTGTGCCAGGTCTTACAGCCCTGGCCAGTGTCAACCTGACTGTCAAAGGTAACATAACCACTAGATTTAAGCTCATTGAGTAATTTTTACGGCGCTTTACAGTATAACTAAAGGAAATAAAGCCCACCCCCATTTGCAGCCAATACAGCATGTCCTGAAAATAAGGAAAATTCTATTATACAAATCTGTTGAGTTTCTGGGAAACTGAGAAGTGGCAGAAACATGTCTATGAAAAGACAGTTGGGTTGAACATCCAACTTCTTAAAATTGAGTAGCTTTTCAGATCAGTATAAAGGAAGTGGTTGAAAAGAAGGGTGCAGAAGTGCGAATAATTCAGAATTGAGAGACAGGTATTTTATTTGAACCATGTTTCTGGACTGTGGAAGGAAGGCCATGCAGACAAGGAGAATACTTACAAATTCCTCACAGATTTACACCAACCAAGATCATTTTCTTGGAGGCCTAGCCTGTGAACAACATTGTTAAACGATTTGGAGAAACTTATGAAATTCTTGTGCACAAGAGGCCAATCCAGGCAGAAAAACATTTCTTTGTGGTGGTGATTTTTGTTCCTCAAACAGACCTGCAGGAAAACTAAAGCATTTGCTCTGGAACACTATGAAACTCATTCAGACACCCCTGCATCCTAAAGCAGGCTTCTTTTGTGGGCCCAAGCTTATTAAAAATGGATTTGGCAAAGGTGGGAAAGCATCCATTGATCCTCTTAAGTCTTAGAGGTAAACGGTGTTTCAGGAACTCAAGCTGCTATTCAGATGATGTATTTTTCAGTGAAGTTATTTCTGAAATTCAGCTAAACAATTCAAAACCACAGTCCACCATGTATTATAACAGCATGAAATCCTGTTAAGCAGCTTAAATCATGAGAAAACATTTGACCTTCAAAACCTCAGCTCTTGGTCTCCAAATGCTCCCTGTGTTGTCAAAAGAATTTATTCAACACACAAAACTTAAGGAAACAGCCGCAATATGCAGGATGGCTGTTTTGCCTTTTTTTAAATGTATCCTTGGTATACTGTTTTACCTCTTTACCCTTTTCTAAATCTTGTTTTTACATACTTTTTTAACATTGCGGGGTCAAGATATATATTGTTTAATCTCCATGTTAAAATGACAGTAAAAGGTGTTTCGATTCTGATTGGGATCATGCTGGCAACACGTTTAATATCTTCAAATATGTTCCCAACTGTACTGATTCATTCCCCATATGTATATTTTGTTTGTGGAGGCCTCTACTTCCAAGCATCAAGCTCTACCATTGCAACACACACACACACACACACACACAAATCACAGTAGCAATAATGGGTGTTCAAGGTATTTTTTCAATCAGAGGAAGGAAGTAGGGAATTTTGTGGAGACAGCTAATAGAGTAATGCTTCCTTCAACTTTGATTAATTCCATTTTGCAATGGAACTCTGGACACAGGTTTTATGTTAACTGCATTGTTCCTTTTGTTTACCCACCACTTTAAGGAAAACCGGTGATTGAGGCGCCTGCTCCTGGAGAGGTGGGGAAGGAAGGAGACACAGTCACTCTGAAGTGCTCGGCTCATGGTTCACCTACTCCTCAGTTCACCTGGAAGCCTTCTGGAAAAGAGGTACAGCACACATACAAAGAGAGATTTTTAAATAATTACAGTCACTGCTTCGTTCCCGGCCAAGGTTTGCACCTGGACTGTTCTGTGAAGTTTGAAGCATGGCTCTTTTAACCTCTTCAAATGTTTTGCATTAAAAAGTCAAAAGCTTTAGAAAATTAACTAGAAGAAAAGCAACTGCGAAGAAATGTACAGAGGAAGCTCACTCAGTTTCATTATTGAAGTACAAGATGAAGTGATAAAACAAGTTCAAACTTTAACCGTCCTGATGAGAAACTGGATAACATCAGAAGCAAATTGATTTGTGTAAGATCAAAGATGAGAGATGATTTTACTTCAGTGGCAACGTGTTTCTAGAGGCCATTTTTTTGGAGGGAGCGAACATGTGGAATATGAAATGAGGCTATGCTACTGAGTCTAAAGCGTAGCAGAATTGCCACAAAGAAATTTAGGACAGAGACTGGATAACAGCAGTCTGACATCTCAAAATTCTCACATGTCCGTCCTTTGCTTTTAACAGTCCATATCGGTGGAAGGTACCAAGATGGTGAGCACTGTGACCCTACCCGCCACGACCGACATCTTAAAGAACGGGGTGACTTGTGAGGCCTACAACGAGCACGGAACAGATAGCAAGATGTTCCCTGTGTCTCTCAAGCGAGGTCAGTGTGAAAAGGGCAGGAATGAGTGACTTTGGAGCGCCTTCGAATTTGGGTCATCTGAAGAAGACATATGTGGAATCGATTCAAATACATTTTGTAAGGTCTTTTTAGAAAAAAACAAAACAACAAACAGTAGAAATTGGTTAGTGGTTTTAGTGGATCTGAAGCAAATGTTTAACCTAAATCTGAGCAGAGCCTGCCATTTTTTTGGCTCGATCATGTCTCAAAACAGTTCCGAAGAGCTGTCCTCTACCTCGACACTTGCATAGATGTAAATTATACTACTTTTGCTATCTTCCTGTGGTGGTGTCTGTGACTACATCTTATTGGGTAATCGACCCTCACACAGACACTGTGCTGCCAGAATAACCTTGTCTCTGAAGGCTTGACAGATGTTACATTTCTGTTGTTAGTGGAAGAGATTTACTAACAGCTGGTGCCACCCAATCATCCTTTCCCTTTTACAGCTTCATATCCTCAAACCTTTGTTCTGTTTCTTCTTCTGTCTTACAGCAATTGACAACTCGGCTGAAGGTAGAGCCTTCTCCCTCCTCCTTCTGTTCTCCTCCCTTCTCTCAGGATTCTATGTTGTACAGACCCTGTAATTTAGAAATCTTCCCTAGATCCATCTCCTCTAGCCCATGCCCTTCCATATCTCTCTCTCTCTCACACACACACACACACAACACAGTCCACACACACCTTCTTCTGCTGTACTGTAATCTTGTATATTTGTCCTATTGCTACCGAACACTGTGGATATTGTATATTGTTATTCTTCTTCTCTCGTCACCTTTGTATGATGTCTGTCCTATATTTTGTGGATGCTAATACAACTTTTTGTGGCCCCTTGGGGACAATAAAGAACTCTATTCTGTTCTATTTCTTCCATTCCTTTCCTTGTTTCTTTACTGTGTCTTTTTGGTCTCAAAATCTTTCCGACTGCCTTCTCGTTTCCTGCTTTTTTTCCTTTCCTCATGCTGTATGTGGGTCGTGAAACTTGGGCTTGTTTGTGCGTGTGCTCTCAGCACTGTGTGTTTTGGTTGTTGCTTTGCTCTGCTATGGGACTGAGAAACTCTCTCTCTTTCAAAGTGCTGCTCTCTGGAAACCCTGTGCTAAAGTCAGGTCTGTATGGCTAACCCTTTTGACATGTGTACGGTGTTTGTCTAGATGTGTAAGTCGCTGTGTGTGTAGCGATGTCTGTGTACACACACAGGGTTATGTCTTGGTTTTCACAAGAGTTCATCTTTTTGTGTATATATCTGTAGCCTACTTGTATTACTGTAGTTGAGAGGACAGGTTTTAGGTTAAAAAAGACAATATACTTGGAAAAAACTAAAAATGCTATTGCTCGGGTTAAATTAATAATTTGACCATTGATCATTTCTAAATAATACCCTTCACAAATAAACATATTCAGCACACTGATATGTGTTGAATGTTAATACAACATGATAAATTTAGGTAAACCTGGGCTCTACTAAGAGTATTCAACCCTACTTCAAGTTATATCACATGATCCAATTTTAGTTTTAGTTTACAAAACTCTTGCAAAATTGAACAAAAATAGTCTTCAAATATTTCTTGCAGGGAAAATTAAGTCAAATACATTTAATGTTTTCTGCAAAAAGAATTGATTTATTTTTTCATACATTTTCCTTTTTTTTTTTTAAATTCGAACAATGTATTAACTCATAAATTGTTTAATGCCAGGAGTCCATCCTAAATTAGAAATCAATTAAAAATAGAGAGATCTTTTGCAAAAATTAAACCGTAAGAGTTTGCTGTGATTGATATAGAATACATTTCAGATTTTCAACCCTGACTGATGCTTAATCAATGTTGATTCAACCAGCATCAAAAAGTAGGTCAGAGTGCAGCGAATGAGACGATGCTGATAAACTCCCAATGATACAGTTTTCTGAATTTACACTAAACAATCTGGCAGTGCAGTCCTGGGTTTTATTTACAAGATGTAATGTTTGAGCCAACTTGGATTTTTGAATTATACCAAAAATTAACCCTTCAATGGATAAGTGAGAACTGGTTATCAGTTTTTACTTTAATTATGAACATCAAGACAGGAATGTGCCCCCAAATTAAATATGTCCTATATGTCCTGGATTATTATTATTATCATAATTATTATTATTATTAGTAGTAGTAGTAGTATTATAACCCACTGTCATGGTAAGCTTGTTTTTCAAAAGAAACGTTTTCAAAATGTAGGAGTAACCCTTTCAGGAAATATGAAAGAAGGAAGATGTACTGCTTACTTTGTCCTTCATTCAAGTAAAACATACCTCACACCTCACAACCAGTTGTGTCCAAAGCTTTACCAGTTCAGTCTCACCTCATTCTGATGTCGACTTAACCGCCAAGAGAAACAGAAGTGCTTCAGGTTTTTTTTTACCGGAGTCTCATTATTTCCAGGGGGTTACTAGGTAACCAAGAGAGATGCCAAAAAGTCAGAGCTCCAGGCCAAGTAACAGTCCATCATCCCACACCTTGTAAAATCACTAAGCAAATGAGAAAAACGATCATAATTTAGGAAGATTAATCATAATTGCATTGAAAATTGCTGATGCTTCCATGCAGTATTCCATTTTGCGTTGCTCAGTGGTCTCATGTCCTCACAATTACGGTAATACAAGTGTAGGTGGATGGGTGAGTATGCTTGGTGTAGTTTTTGTTTCTGGATCTGATGCCTGTCTAGTTTTACCTGTGAGGGTACAGGCCCTGTTACTGGGTCCCATCACATTTCAGTCCTTGCATTCAGAAGTTAGACTAACCCCACATCCCAATCCCTACCCCTTCTCCTCTCCACCCACCCATCCATTAACTCTTTCCACCTGGACCCCAACAATCCCCCTGTTTTCCTTTCAACCCAATCCAAATTAAATCACCCCCCCCCCTCCCCCTCCTCTTTTTTCACCCCACAAATCAAATGCCCCTCACGGTGCCTCTCACCCCCTTGCGAATCAAAAACCCCTCCGTTCCAATCATCAAACCTCCTCCGCTGTGATCAACTCTCTACACCTCCGTCCCACCTTCAAATCCCTCCTTCCCCTCTGTTCCAACAACTCCCCGTCCCACCATCCGCCCCCCCCCCCTCCATCCTCCCCTCCATTTGTCCCGTCCGTTGCGGTGCTGTAGCTGACAAGCAGCAGGGAGGCTCCAGCGGGGTGGTGATTGCTGTGGTGGTTTGCGTCCTGCTGCTCCTACTGCTGGTGGCCCTCATCTACTGCCTGAGCAAGAAGAGCAAGCTTCCCTGCAGCAAGAAGGACAAGAAGGATGTGTGAGTAGAGCAGAGGGGAGCACAGTCGGGATAAATTATGTCAGCAATTGTCTTACATATTGACAATAGCGATGTCAATGTGTTTCGTTGACTTTCCATCTGTTTCTCCATCCAGAGCCACCAGAGAGGTGAACAACGACATTGTGGTGGAGATGAAGACAGACAAGGCCAATGAAGAAGCCGGCCTTCTAAAAAAAAAAGCAACCACAGAACAGGTTAGGTCAGCGACAACTGGGAGGGACAGTGGGGTGGGGGGGTTGATAAGAATAGTTCATAACAGAGAGCTTCAGATTCATTTTTATAGGACGAACATATTAGCTACAAGACTCCAGAACATATTACTGGCTTCTTTATCCATAAATGTGTAATCTAAATGCAGCATGGCATATCTCTCACTCACAGACTGTTCAAACTCTGTCCTATTTCAAAGAGAGTGGCCTCGTCAGATGAAAAGAGGGAGTCTCACAGTCAAAAAGACCTTAAAATGTCACCACAAATGTGAAACATTTCATCATAAAATGTTTTGCCGTTGCGTATTTGAATGTTAAGTTTCTCCAGCCAGTCGTGTTTCATTGGAGCCATTGGAAGCAAATTGATTGACATTTTGAAAAAGTAAAAAAGATTCCCAGAACATTTTACTTTGCTTTTGATTTGAGAATCAGTCTGTTGTCATGCTATCAAATGAGACGCCATTGAAAGTATCACCCAGTAAGCTAAAAAACTTCACCCAACATGGGAACACACTTTTGATAACAGTATGTGGATTTATAAATCACCTAAACATTGTATTTTAAGGGAAATAAAACTAAACTCTTACTACTTGTTAAAGATGAATTGTTTACGAAAGAATATATTGATGGCAGCATCCCATCTAGAGAAAACAAGGTTAGGATCAAAGGCAGTAATCGGAAGTCTTCTCTGCTCATGGTTCCAAAATTAATTCAGAGCAGGGCTTCTTTAAGGAGATATCTCTTGTCTGGAATAAGTTTTTCAGCCATTGATATTTCTGATCGTCATGTTTTAGATTGCAAATGTAACAGGTGTCAAAGGCTGGCGGCTGTGAAACCATGCAGATGTGCTTAAAGAAGAAAAGTAGTTTGACTGTGTCTTAGACTACATGTACAAGTCACATATTCTGTTTATTCGATTTAACAGAATTACACTGACCTGGATAAAGATGTTTATGAAAAGATGTGTTCAAACTGCTGACTGTTTTACTTATGCACTTTTACTTTTGATGCACATATAAAAAATATTCAGATTTAAGAACAATTCATTTTTTATCTGAGCACACTGATGGCAGTAATAATTCAATTCTGAGTTGTCAATTGAAGTACTGAAACATATAGTTTTCTCTTCTTTTTTCCAGAAGTAATAGGTATCTTTTTGCTTGTCTTTCAGTGATTAAACCAGAAGATGGATGAACTCTGAGGGATGAAGGGAACAACAGTTTCAAATACAAGAGGGTTCTTTTTCTTTTTTTTTGTTTTGCTGGACGGGGGACAACAGGAGGTGTGGCAGGGAGTAGGGTTTATTTTGGTGGCTTTTACAATGCTCAGCTTTGGTTAGCTTGTTTCATTACCTGGAGTAGACCTGCTGCGTGGAGCTGCTTTCCTCCATCCACACTGTACTTCATCAAACTCATTTTTCCATCGGTTTTAATAGAACTCATGCAAAATAAACAGGCGGCATCGCTGGGAGACCCCAAACCGATCACTTCGCATCACATTTTTTCGTAGACTCCTCTGCAGATGAAGCATGACTGACGAAAATGTAAAGGCAGTGGCTGAATCTTTCCAATCTGTCACGGGTGCTAGGTATAATATTTGTATGCCGATTTCCCTGTCTTCTTTCCATCCGTGGTGTGTATGTATTCAATGAACATCCTCTCTGTTTTGGAGTATACACTTAACTTCTTTCCAGTCTTTTGGTAATAATGGAGAATAACAACCTGTTATCCAGTTTGATTTCGCTGTTTGACTGTACATTTTCTGTCAGAGATGCTGTCTGTGCCTGAGTGTGGATTGTTTTGTTTCTTGTATGCCACCGGGGAACGTTTAAATATCTTTCATTACCCCTCATTAGCTTTGATAATAGAAACAGGTGAGGTATTTCACAAGCCTGTTTTTCTTGAATTTCTTGCTTTTTTTTTTATCTAGTGGACACCCGCAAAACACACGTGTCTTTATGGATGTACAAATGTATTCTCGACGGTTCCAGATCACCTGTACATTATGTCAAATTGCTTGTTTTTCTGTGCTCGCCGTATTTTTCTCTGTGATTTCAAATACTAGTTTCCCTGTCAATCAGGCCGGAGTAGCTGTGCGTGATGCGTGAGTCTAAGGTCACCGTGGTTAGCGGGCAGCTGGCCGTAAATGCAACTCTTCCTTACAGAATGGGTTGCAGCTTCTCAGATCTGTGCTCTGGGAGGAAAACTGGCGCGAGGCTGGGGAAGTGAGAAAGCTCTCTCGCAGCCCCATTACCTCCAGCTTTCACTGTGAAATTGGTGGTATTTGGTGAGCGGGCCGATAGTATCACACTCCAGCCTGTCGCTCGTTGTTTTCCTATCACAACTTAATGGGCCTATCAGGGGTGGCAGTGCGGTACACAGATACACCTGTTAGGAGGCATTTGGGCACAGGTTTGCTCCAGCTTGAAACGCACAGGGAAGGGAAGCTGTGGGTAGGGGGGGGGGGGCACCTTTTTTTCTTGTACCAAACGAAAGTTTTTGCGTGTCACAGCGGAAGTTGTTCTGCGTTAAGGTACACATTCCTTGTATTTCTTTCTCCTCAACACTGTCTGCTAAAAGCAGTTCTTAGAGCGGGCAGATGGCCATTTAATTTTGTTTTACACTGGAGCGATCGAACCTTGATGTTTTTCCTTTTTTTTTCTCTTTAAAAAAAAGCTTCACCTCAAACCACTATCTGTATCCACAAAGCTTTTTGTTTCTGGCCGTCTGTCTGCTGATCTTAGGGTGAACTTTCTGACCGTTGGCAGGACTGTGACAGCGGATCAGATGGATCAGTGAACTTGGACAACTGTTTTGTGACATGTTTTATATAAAAATGTTGTTTGAGCAAGGGGATTTTTCATTTTGGAACTACTGAGTTTTCTTTTTCCCGTGTTTTTCAGCTTGCTGAGAGAAATTTTTTTTTTTTAATTATTATTTTAGATTTATTTTGATTGAATATTCTCTGTTGATTTCTCTCTCTTTAATGTATACTGTATATTTTGTGGTACAATGTTTGTGACCTCTGTGGTGTGTTGATGTATCTTTTTACTTTGTTCCAGCTGTGTAGAATTTCTAAGGAAAAAAACTTAAGAAAACAAATCACATCCCATGACTGTCTGTGTTATTATTTCTGACTGCAGTCCATCTCAAAAGGTGTTACTGGATTTGCCTTAATTATTTTCTTTTTTTTTTTCATAACTTTAAATTTGCTTCGAAATTCACCCCAAAAAATACTCCTCAGCCACTTCGCCAACCATCATCTCTAAAATCTTCACATGCCAGAATTCAAATTGCCCTCGATGTGATTCATCTGAGTGTTGCTTTCTTTTTACTTCATAGAAGATGACATCTAAATTGATTCCCATCTTGCACTAAATTTTAATATCTTTGATTCAACCATATTATGTAAATTTTTTGCCCACATTGATAGGTCCCATGATTTGTTCTGACAGGGCGGACAAATGGAGGAAGTCCACGCTTTGCATCAGTGACGTTTTTATGGATTTTCTAAGTGCTGACTTCACTAGTCTTGGTCCTATTATCCTGCTTTTATGTATGGAAATTAGTTCCATCAATCACTGAAAAAATAGCTGTGCAGCTTTGTGCCTAGATGAGTAACAGTTTGCCAGATAATTCTTATCAATAGCACTATGATCGTAAACTCATTATTCTGTCAAAACAAGCTGTTAATCAAGAAAAAAGATTTTAAAAAATCCAAAAAATCTCTAAGTTGTCCAATAAATCTGTGGTTCTTACACAAACTGTCCAACCCTGTACCCGCTTCTGGCAGGCTTGTGCAACATAATGCTGCTACACTGCTCCTCCACTTATGGGAATGTCATGTCGCGTGATGACACACACCCACTGCATTGCAGGTCTTCCATTAGGAAATTAAAAGTCTCC